AAATCATTCTATTCATTAAGAGAATGCAACTATATATCTATCCCAACCACTTTGAATACACAGATACAAAATGGACATTCATAGTTAAGGAGTATAAATATTTTAAATAAAAATCGTTATTATTGTGTTTCAGTGAATACGTAATTTACTGTAAAAGTCACATGCTTTTAGAAATGCTATCTTTTCTTGAAACAAGCTTTAGCTTTTTGGAAAGCAGCTATGCTAACCACTATACCACTAACGCCTCGGCACTTTAGCTTTTTGGAAAAGTTAATTAGTTTTTATAGTTTTCTGTTAGGATTCATATTTATTAGCTTAAGTAGTTATCTTTCGTTTGACTGAATAATTCTAAAGTACAAATATTTAATTCAGCACCATTTATTTGATATTTATTCAGTTTCAGTCATTATGCTAAAAATGAAAAACTATGATGTCTTTTTTTCTCTACAGAGTTTGATGTACAGGAACTGCATATTATATCATTATTATTATTATTATTATTATTAGCGGTAGCTGGGATCAAACTCAGGATCTTGTGCTTGCCAGACAGGCGCTTATGCCACCAAGCTATCTCCTGGGTTTTTATTTCTGTTTTTTTTGGCTGGCTCAGGCCTCGGAGCTGGTGTGGCATGGCATGTGGTTCCGGGGATCTAACCAGTCCCCTGCGCCTGCCTAAGCAGGCACTTGAGACTGCTGAGCTATCTCATGGGCAGAAACTGCCTTTTAAGTTGTCTGGTTTTTGTTGCAAATTTTAGTACAAGTGTTGCCAAAGTGAGCACTTTCATCACAAATTTTAGAAAAAAAATTTTTTCTTTTGCCATTAGTTTTGTGTTTTGTTTGTTTTGGAGATAGTTCAGGCTGGCTTTAAATTTGCTATGCAGGCTAGGCTGGCCTTAGAACTTGTAGCGATCTTTTACCTCGGCCTCCCGAGTGCTGAGCGTATGGCCCAGCACCACCCGCCTGGCTCAACATTAGCTTTAGCTGCACATTTAGTGTGTATTGTGATTGGTAGCAATGAAATTAGACTAGGTAGTTTTTTTTGTTTGGTTTTGTTTTACTTTTTGACACAGTCACCATATAGTTCAGGCTGGTCTTCAACTCACAGCAATCTTCCCATCCCAGTCTCCCTCTGCCATGTGCTAGGATTACAGGTGTGTCCCACTCTACCCAGCTGGGCGAGGTGATTTTTTAAACTTGAAAAGTTAAGTTATGTAATTGCAGTATATAAAGCTTCATCAAATGACTTAAAAACGTTGATGGTTAAAAGTTGTAGTTATATTGCCTAATTCTAGCACTCTGGGAGGGAGACACAGGAGGATTGCAAGGTTGAGCTCAACTTGGACAATTTAGTGAGACCCTGTCTCTGAAAAACATCTTTAAAAGGACTGGCACTATGGCTGAGTTGATTGGCCTAGGCTCAGTCCTATTGCTGTGAACAGACAAACAAAAATTAGTGTTGTTATGATATTGAACCAATCCTCCCCTGCATCTTTCCTTCCTATCTCTCTTTGCTTCTTCTTCTTGTTGCCTCTTCTTGCTTCTCCTTTTTCTCTCCTTTTCTCCCTCCCGTCCTCCTCTGTCCCTCCTTTCCTCATTGCTTTCTTCTTTTCTTCCCAGGGGCACTGTACCACTGAGTTAGATGCCCAGCACTTTGTTTGTTTCAGTACCAGGGATCAAACTTGGGACCTGTATGCCGTTGAGCTCTGTCCCTGGCCTGCCCTTTTTATTATTTATTTTGAGACAGGGTCTCACTAAGTTGCTATGGGTGCTGTCCACCTCGCTATCCTCCTGCATCAGACACTTGAATAACTGATATAATGTGATAGCACGTGCCTCTGAGCCTGGCCAGGAACCTGTCTTAGGGGTTTCCAATCCAGTAATACAGCATATTCTTTTTTAGCAAGTTTTTATTAATTTCAGCTCTAAAAAGAATTATTCTACCTTGAATACAGTATAACTATGTCTAAAACATTGGGTTTTTTTGTTTTGTTTTTTAGCAAAGTAGAGCTTGCTTTGACATCTGATGGCAGGACAATAGTTTGCTACCACCCTTCTGTGGACATTCCATATGAACACACAAGAGTATGTATGAAAAAGAATTTTATTTCCTTTATTTTTTTTTAAGAGCAAAATATATTTTATATTGGGGAAAAGAAAGTTTCTGTTTAAGAGACAAAAGGGGGACCTGAGCGGGTTGCCCCCCCAAAAATTTTAATTTGTTGTTAGAAATGGTCATAGTTCCTTATAGTATATAATAAGAAGGGAATTACTTATTTGCTCATTTCTTGCTTTGGTTTTTTTTTTTTATTTTAGTGTTCTGATTTTTTTTTTAATTATAGGCTCTTGATATGTATAGTTCAGGCCAGTGTTAAACTTGCTATGACCTCTAACTTTTTTTTTTTGGTGGAACTGGGGATTTGAACTCAAACCCTTGTGCTTGCCAGGCAAGTGCTAATTCTACTGAGCCATCTCCCTGGCCCCTGACCTTTTAACTTGTGATCCTCCTGTGTTATCTTGAGTGCTGGGATTACAAGCATGTACCGCCATACTTGGCTTGTCGTCTTTAGTGGTTGTTCTTCACTTGGAAAATGAAGTAGGGCCCGGGATATAGCTCAGTGTCACAGTGCCTACCTGGCAAGCATGAGGTCTTGGGTTTGACTTCTAGTACCGGGGGAAAAAAGCAAACTAAAAGTTAGGCATGGTGTTGCACCCCTATAATCCCAGCACTCAGGAGGCGGAGGCAGGTAGATCACTGTGAGTTGAAGGCCAGCCTGAACTGCACAGGGGAACCCTGTCTCAAAAAGAAAAAAAATTTAAAAAGAACCACTTAAACATGGTTATGATATCATATTTCTGGTCCAGAACATTTGTTAGGTTTCTGGTTAGGCATCAAATACATCTAGTACGTGGTACGTTGGTTCATGGATTTAACTCTTTCTATGATTCTGTTTGTAAACTGAATTGGTTGTGAATCAAATCAAATTTTCCTGTGAGGTCAACATTAAACCTTACTATTGAATTTGATTTGGTTTGTGACCAATTCAGTTTGTGACCAGAATCATGGAAAGAATTAAGTTTGTGAACCGTGGTACCACTGTATCAAACTATAAAACACAATTTCCTATATTTCTTGGTATTATAATCTAATATGTTATATGAAAAACTTGTATTTTATTTATTCTTTTAAGACAGGGTTTCTCCATGTAGTTCAGGCTTGAATTCACTTTGTAGTCCAGGCTGGCCTTGAACTTAATGATTCCTCTTGCCTCAGCTTCCTAAAAATTAGGATTATAAGTGTGAGCCCCCACATCCACCTGAGAAGGCCTGTATTATAGAGTACTGTTTTAAAATTGTTATATTCTTAGTTCTGACAAGCTTTTAACATTTGCTGAATTTTTATTTGTTTATTTATGCAAACAGGATTTTAATGTGTATTCTGGCCTGGTCTTAAACTCACTGCAAGGCCCAGCCTGGCCTTAAGTTTATTGTGCTCGGCTTGCCTCTGCTTGCGCGGTCCTGGGATTGGAGGCACACGCCACGTAATTTAGCTAGTTGGCCCAACTTGCTATATTTTGTTCAGCCCAGTTTAATTTTCTGCATACTTCTTCAGGCACCAGATAGATTTTGTTTTTCCTACAATTACTTTAGTTTGATCTTTGTCTTATTTTATATTTAAAATGCTTTCTCTTATTTCTATAAGTCTTTTTCTGCCATATTGATCATGCCCGATTGGCTTTTTTTGTGTATTTGGTATGGTGTCTTACTACGCAACTCCGACTCGGAGTGGCCCTCCTGTTTTCAGCCTCATGTGGTACTGATTGGCTTCTTAAGAAGACTTGCAGACAATGACGCATTTAGTGGGAACTTTTTACAGGTCACTAGGGCCGGTCTGCCTGTTGACTTATAGATTGCTGTCCTTTTGCTAGTTTATTATTTTCTTTTGGGCGTTGCTAGGATTGAGCTCAGGACCTCCTGCCTGCTAGGACGCCTCTGACCACTGAGCTCTGTGCCCACTCTTTCCTGTTTTCAGCACTCTGTCCCTCTGCTGCATGTCCTCCATGTCACAAGCACTAAGCCAGGGCCTCTTTTGTTTCATTTCTTTGGGTAAAGTGAACAGAAGCAGAACTAAGTCCCTGCCCTTGTCCTGTGTGTCTGTTGCTGTTGCAGCAGTTGTTCCAAGAAGCCCAGGGCTGGTGGCTCATGTTTTTAACATCCAGACTCTCCCCACTTGGCTTTTTGCATCTATGGATCTGACTTTTCCATCCTTTCCAAATCTTAAAACTTTCCCACTTACAAAACAATAACAATAACAGCAACAAAACTTTCTCACTATAATTTTAGAGCTTACTTTTATTATTATTATTATTTTTATTATTATTATTATTATTGATGTAAGCAATGTGCACACACCTTTCTCCAAGGACCCCTCTTGCTTTTGATCTTGGAGCCCTATAAAATCTGTTGTTATTATTATTATTATTGATGTATTTGGTACAGGTTCACACTATGCAGCCTGGACTAGTAGTGATCCTCCTGTTTTTATCTTCCCCAGCACAGGGTTTACAGGTGTGCGCCACCACACCTGGACTTGGTTGGCTCAGAACGCTCTGAGGACAGGACTGGGGATCAAACCTTGGTCCCTGTGCTTTCCAAAGCAGGTGCTTAGTCTGCTGAGCTATCTCGCTGGTCCTAGAGCTTACTATTATTGACAAATTATTTCATAACCTTAACCTTTCCAGAGCAATGCCTTCACTTCTGACTCTGATAGAGATCTGTTTCTGTAACTTGGGGACATTGCTTCTGAGACCTTCAGTAATCGCTGTGTTCTCTACCAGTTGCTTTTAACATTGGACATAGTAGTTCCTCAAGGTCATGTCCTGATGATTTTTCTACTGTCTAATGGTTTCCAGCTTTGGAGCTTGTGTCATCAAACCACACCATCCATGTCTTTTTCTGTTGCTGTCATCTCCCAGTCCTTTCTCCTCAAGCCTTCCATACTTCCTGGGCGGTTTTAGGCTCCTTGACTTAGCTATTGGCCTTTCCAGTACTGTTGAGTCTAAAACATATTGCAAGTAAAAAGATCTTCCTCCTCTTGCCAGTGTGTATTTTACTAAAATTCTAGAATGTTTTTGTGAAACTTAAGGTTCATCATTTAGGAAAATAAAGGTATACCTGGGCCAAAAATAAATAAGTTAGAAAAACAAAAGAGAAATGTATGTCTTTTTAGTTGTTAATTTAGTGGGAAATTTCAAAAGTCAAATTTTAAAGTTCTTAAAGGGAAATTCAAGATGACAGTTCTAAGTGTTGAATAAAGTTGACACTCAGAGTTTTTTTTTTTTCCTTCACTATACTGTAATATTTGCCTACCCTTTCTTTGAAGTTGGATCAAGGAGTACCACAGAGAAAAGTTCTGAATCTGCCAGGAGCTCTTGGTAAGAACTTCAAAGAATCTTTTAATTCCAGTGTCTTTTATCTTTGCACCTGGAAACATTTGAGAGAAAAGAGTTTGTGCCAAATTAGAGTCAAGCCCGCTTGGGGGTAGGGAGAGACAGTGGACGTTTATTATGCTTGGAAATAACTGGATTGATTTTGTGTAGGCATGCACACTGAGCTGCATCCCCAGCCCTGTTTTATTTTATTATCTTGATAGGGCCTAGTTGAATTGCCAGGGCTAGGTTTAAACTTTCTGATCCTCCTGCCTCAGCCACCCAGAATGCTGAGATTATAGGAGTAAGCCAATGGGGCTGACTTTATTGTTTTAGAACTTTGATTTTTTAGCAACAAGTACAAAAACTTAAATAATAACAGGGTTAGATTTTCCAAAGATGAGAGTTTGAGATAGTAGGGAATTACAGGCAGCTATGAGTGTCATAGTAAACTGCATGCTCAGAACCTGGAGCCACGGAGACATTTCTAAAGGCAGAGCAACTGCAGGGATCAGCAAGGGAGCAGACGTTCACTGATGTGACTTTCTTTTTTTTTTTTGGTGGAACCAGGGATTGAACTCAGGCCCTTGCACTTGCCGGGCAAGTGCTTATTCTACTGAGCTGTCTCCCTGGCCTCTGACTTTCTGTGTAAGATTGCAGTGGCACTTGTGCAAGGCTGCAGTTACTGGCAGTCTTGTTAGTTCATGATATCAGGCAAGATACACATGAGAAGCCCTCTGAGAACCTCCTAGCTGTGTATTACTACTGCTACTTATTCATCATCTTCCTCCTTTTTCTCTTCTTCTTATGATTATTTTTTAGGGCTTAACACAAGTGACTCCATTTTGGTTG